ACCAAGCCATGTCCACAGAACCGGTGGTAAAAAAAATTTGAAACCCATCACTGAACCCCATCCTTGTTTGTTTTCAAGTGGGGCAGAGTTAGAAACTCTGGAATCTGGCCAGAACTGGGTCCCATTTGATCAACAGGTTCCTGAATGAGTTGATGGCTAAGCCAGAATCCCTGATGCTAGCAGAACATGGCTTGTGAATGGCACCCATAAAATCCCTTGACGCAAGCCTCACCCATCCAGTAGCTGACCACAGAGGAGTTATCCTGATCAAAGCTGCAGATATCCTGCCTTTTCAGTGGACTGTTTATAATGCCATCGCTCTTTGTGATGTTTCTCTTTGGCTGAGTTCACATTAGATGCTTCTGTTCATTTTAACCGCAGTTCATTCAGGGAACCTGGCATTCAGGCTTCATGCATCATAGCCCTAAAATGAACTTAGCCACTCCAACTGAGTTTGCATAACCAAATAGATTAAAATATGGCTGGGTAATTGGTAGTTCTGGGCATTGGACAAATTCAGCATTTAATGGTGGCTCAGTGGCTAAGACCCCGAGCTTGTCGAACGAAAAGTCGGCAGTTCAGTGGTTCAAATCCCCAGTGCCGCGTAACGGGGTGAATTCCCGTTACATGTCCCAGCTTCTGCCAACCTAGCAGTTTGAAAGCACGCAAAAAATATAAGTAGAAAAATAGGGACCACCTTTGGTGGGAAGGTAACAGCGTTCCGTGCGCCTTTGGCGTTTAGTCATGCCAGCCACATGACCACGGAGACGTCTTTGGACAGCACTGGTTCTTCGGCTTTGAAACGGAGATGAGCACCGCCCCCTAGAGTCAGGAATGACTAGCACATTACCTTTGCCTTTAAGAAAAGGTAACAGCCATAATTTGTTCACCAAAATTCAAATTAACAGAGAGAATGCGCTAAAGATATAGGAGGTAGCTAAGTTTAAATAAGGTTCAAAGTCTATCTACAAAATGCGATGCAAAATTGGTCTTGTGCAGTGGTGGGTTTCAAATTTTTTTACTACTGGTTCTGTGGGTGTGGCTTGGTGGGCGTGGCATGGCTTGGTAGGCGTGGCTTGGTGGGCATGGCAGAGGAAGGAGACTGTAAAATCTCCATTCCCACCCCAATCCAGGGGAAGGTTACTGCAAAATCCCCATTTCCTCCCTTATCAGCTGGGACTTGGGAGGCAAAGAATAGATGGGGGTGGGGCCAGTCAGAATTTTTACTATCGGTTCTTCGAACTACTCAAAATTTCCACTACCGGTTCTCCAGAACTGGTCAGAACCTGCTGAAACCCACCTCTGGTCTTGTATTACATAGATATACTGTATGCAGATGCCCAATAAAAATACTGGCTAACAAATCAAATCCATACAATATAAAGCATAATGTTTGAATCATTAAGGGAAAAATCTGTTCCTACTTCAACTGTCTCTGTCTACATTCTCTTTCTTGATTACAGAAGAATCTTGAGAAATAATTGTGTGTATGTGTGTGTATTTAACTATAGGCTGGGTGCACCCATCATTTGAATGTATTTAAACCTGACCAGACATGACCAGGCCTGGTTCAGAGATATATATACAGTAAGCCATGACTTACTTAACCAGTTTGTACTAACTGCAACGGGTAACCTCACAAACACCTTAACCCAGAACTGAACAAGTGACACCATTAACTGGCATTAAACATAAACCCAGTCATGGCGATGTATTGAAATGACTTTTTTTTTTTTAAATTTGATTTATATGCCGCCCTTCTCCGGAGACTCAGGGCGGCTTACAATGCGTTAAGCAATAGCCTTCATACTTTTGTATATTTATACAAAGTCAGCTTATTGCCCCCACAAACTGGGTCCTCATTTCACCTACCTTAGAAAGGATGGAAGGCTGAGTCAACCTTGAGCCTGGCGAGATTCGAACCAGCAGTAATTGCAGACAGCTGTGTTAATAACAGGGTGCTTAGACCACTGTACTATCAAGGCTCTTGATTTAACCTTGTTACTAGGTTACTTGATTTAACCTTGTTACCATTACCAGTGTAATGGCTCGTTACACTGAACCAAGAACTGGCCGATGGATTCACAACATATAAAGGTAAGGCATCCACAGGCTAAAAATGAAGGAAGGTTATAATTAACCAAGCTACGGGTGCAGCTTCTAAGTACGTAACAAACTAAGCTGGTTAAACGTGTGCATGCAGACCTAAAGTAGAAATCCCTGAGTCTGCATCTACATTCACACACTACCTAGAGAATTTACAGAGATTACCTTGAGAAGGAATGTAGTGGTTAGCAAACATGAATGAAACCCAGGTGAGAAAAAAGGCGTTTCGAAAGAAACTTTAAAGTGACTCCACCTTGACTCTCTTTGATATAAGAGGAGGGAAGGGAAAATGCCATCAGGATTTGAGCCAAAATTTCTGTTGCTAAGCAACACATTGTTAAGTGGGGTTTGGCCCATGTTACGACTTTTCTTGCCACCGTTGTTAAGTGCATCGTTGCAATTGTTAAGTTAGTCCAGGTAGTCCTCAACTTACGACCACAATTGAGCCCAACATTTATATTGCTTAGTGAGAGATTTGTTAAATGAGTTTTGCCCTATTTTATAATTTTTCTTGCCACGTTTGTTAAGCAGATCACAGCAGCTGTTAAATCAGTCCCATGGTTGTAAGTGAATCTGGGTTTTTTTCCCCATTGACTTTGCTTGTCCTAAAGTCACACAAGGGGGAAATCACATGACCCCATGATGCTGCAAACCGTCATAAATATGAGTCAATTGCCGAGCTTGATCACGTGGCAATGGTTGTAAGGGTGAAAAACAGTCCTAGGCCACTTTTTTTCAGTGCCGTTGTAACTTCGAACAGTCACTAAATGAACTGTTGTAAATTGAGGACTACCTGTAACTTGTTAAGTGAACCTGGCTTTCACAATGACTTTGCTTGCCTGAAGGTTACAAAGAGTGATCCCCTGACCCCCGGGATACTGTGCAACCATCATAAATATGAGTCAGTTGCCTGGATTTGGATCATGTGACCATGAGAATGCTGCAATGATTATGTGAAAAACAGACACTTTTTCCGGTGCCATTGTAACTTTCGTTACTAAATGAATGGTTGTAAGTCAAGGACTACCTCTATAGTCCATATCCGTAGAGTTCCAGGTGTCTTTTACAGTCTTCTTCCTGAACTAGCTATCTCAAAGGACTGACACATTACAATGAGCATAATAACATTTGCTTATGCCTTAGTTTGTTGGCTGAAAAGCTTCCAACTATGGTTGACAAAGGGGTGAAATCCAGCAGGTTCTGACAGGTTCTGGAGAACTGGCAGCGGAAATTTTGAGTAGTTTGGAGAACTGGCAAATACCACCTCTGGCTGGCCCCAGAGTGGGGTGGGAATGGGAATTTTGCAGTATCCTTCCCCCAGGAGTGGGAGGGAATGGGGATTTTGCAGTATCCTTCCCCTGGAGTGGGGTGAGAATGGAGATTTTGCAGTATCCTTCCCCTGCCACGCCCACAGAACCGATAGTAAAAAAAATTGAATTTCACCCCTGGTTGAGAAAGAATATTTTTTTTTTTAATTTTTACTTCAAATTTGTGCTGTAGAATGTTGTGTGAAGCTGGTCAATTGTGATTTATTCAACAAACTTGAGGGAGAACAACCAACGGATTTCCCCAGTCTCCTGGGGAATTTAAAGGGCTCTAAAATTATGGTCCTGCTGGATTCATCTTCTGATAAACGATGAGTCCAGCAGGGCCATAACCAGGGGTGTGCTTCAAAAATTTTAGCAAGGGGTTCTCTGTCCGGTTGCTGGGTGGGCATGGCCATGGTGGGCATGTCCTAGTCGGCCTTCTATACCATGGCGGGGGTGTATGGGTGTTTTTGCCCTCCCCAGGCTCCAGAGGCTTTCCTCGATCCTTTGGGAGGGCGAAAACGGCCTATCCAGGCTCCGGAGGCCCTCTGGAGGCCCGCTTCCAGAACTTCCTGAACTTCCTGAATTTCCAGTAGGCCCGTTTTTCGCTTCCCTGAGCCTCTGTACACACAGTGCAGTTACCTGCGTCCAAAACGGGACTCACCATGGGGACTTCTGGGAGGGGTGGGGCGGGGTGGGCAGGGCCAGCCAGGGGGGCTCTCTGACCTGAACAGAAAATTAGCTAGAGGTTCTCCCGAACCCCTGCGAACCCCCAGCAGCCCACCCCTGGCCATAATCCTAGAGGCCGACATGTCAGGAGGACATCTTGTTACACTAGCCAGATGTAGGACTCTGGGAAAATGATTCTGGAAGTCAACAGCAACTCTTTAATTCTAACAAGCTGCTCCAGGCCACAATCAGCAGCTTTGCTAACTTCACTTCCCAGGAATACCTATCACACCTGTATAATTTCAGCACCCAAATTTAGGCTGCTTCCTGAAGCGTCCAAACAGGAGTAGTTGAAGGAAGGGCATTGAGCCTTGAAAGTGGTGAAGATAATATTAATGCCGTGCTCCTTAATTATAATAATTGACCAAAGCAAGGATGAGAAGGATGGTAATTTCCCTTTTTCGTAGGAGAACCTCTGTTCCCAGAGAGGTGGAGTGACAAAATTGTTTCTTGGGCTAGGATGTTTTAATTGAATGTCCTCCTTTGCCTGTTTCCCAGGGTGAGATCCACAAGCTGGGCTGGTATGAAGACCAAACTAAGTAGAGTGAAAGGATGGGTAAGAAAATCACTTTTATGTGCTTTAGTTCAGGTGTCTCCAACCTTGGCAACTTTAAGCCAAAGTTGGCTTAAAGGAGGGGTGTTCAGCAGTGGTGGGTTCCTCCCGGTTCAACCCGGTTCCACCGAACCGGTAGCGGTGACGATATGATGTCACCGAACTGGTTCTGCCCCCCTCCTCCCTCTCCTCCCCCGCCCCTCCTGCATTATTCTTGTTACATGTAAATGACTAACCCTGTGATTGATTGAATGTAAATATTAATTCCCTTTTCCAATAACCACCCCCTCATGACTCCTCCTTACCTTGACTCCGCCTCCTTAGTATATAAGTCCCATCCCGCTCCTTCATCTTCAGTTTCTCTCGTGTCATGATACCTGTTGTGAAGCAAAATACAAACAATAAATGTTTATTAATATAAAACTAATGACTTCTATGAGTTATTGGGCTTGATCCTTGAACCTACGTAACAATTCTTACCTTTTATTTGGCCCCACCCCCAATCTATTGCTGCCTCCTGAGTCCCAGCTGATCGGCTAGAAGGAAAAAACCTGTTTAAACTCTTGCTGTGGGGCTTCAAAGGGCCGCCCTACAGCTGATCAGTGTTAAAAGGCAGTGTGGTGGTAGACCGGTGCCTCCAAAAACAAATGAGTAGACCGGTACAGCTATGCAAGCAGTTAAAAGCCTAGTAGACCAGTACCTGTGCTAAATCCTAAATAATTGTCACATGACCATCAAGCCACGCCCACAAAATAAGCCACACCCACAGAACCGGTAGTAAAAAAATTTAGAACCCACCCCTGGTGTTCAGGTGTTGAAGACAAATATTTTGACCCTGAAAACTCACACCTGCAGAACCAAAACACACCTGAAATGTTGGCCCCATGCATTTGGGGAGGAGAAATCTGAAAGTCATAGGACGCATGCTAATATGTTGTGTGTGCCCCGAGGGCACCGTCTGCCCTGGTGTGTAGAAAGTACAGGTAGTCCTCAACTTACGACCACAAATGAGCTCGAAACGTAGGTTGCTACGTGAGAAATTTGTTAAGTGAGTTTTGCCCCATTTTGCGACTTTTCTCACCACATTTGCTAAGTGAATCACTGCGGTTTTTAAATTAGTAACCTGCTTATCAGAAGGTCGCAAAAGAGGATCACATAAACCCTGAGACACTGCAACCGTCCTAAATATGAGCCAGCTGCCAAGCGTCCTGAATGTTGATTACGTGACCATGGGGAATGGGATGCTACAATGGTCGTAAGTGTGGAAAAATGGTCGCAAGTCACTTTTTTCAAGGCTGTGGTAACCTTGAATGGTCACTAAGTGAAATGTTGTAAATTGAGGATTAACTGTATTGACTTAGGACAGTGTTTCTCAACCTTGGAAGCTTGAAGATGGGTGGACTTCAACTCTCAGAATCCCCCATCCAGCGCTGCTGGCTGGAGGATTCTGGGAGTTGAAGTCCACCCATCTTCAAGCTTCCAAGGTTGAGAAACACTGACTTAGGAGGAGAAGAAAAAGGCTTAAATAATATACCATGGGGAGAGTTGGCTTTTCTGCTTACTAATTGCTCCTGGTTCAAAATCACAACCCCCCTCCGCCAAAAAAGTCAAGTATTGGAAGGAAATGGCAACAGTTGGCCAACTGTCTTGATTTAAATTCACATCAGCATAAGCAACTCCAGGGGTGGAGGTGGAGCTGCTGGGAGTTCGCAGGGGTTTGAGAGAACCTCTAGCTAAGATTCTGTGCAGTTCAGAGAACCCCCAAATCCGACTCCTGGCTGACCCCGCCCCGCCCAGCCCACTCCATCCCTCCCAGGAGTCCCCATGCGGCCTGTTTTGGATGCAGGTAAGTGCAGGGCTCACGCGGAGGCTCGGAGAGGGTGAAAAATGGGTCTACTGGAAGTTTGGGAAGGCCGGAAACGGGCTTGTTTCCATCCTCCAGAGGGCCTCCGGAGGCTCGAGGAAAGCCTCCGTGAGCCTCGATGAAAGCCTCCGGAGCCCGGGGAGGGCAACTCCCCCCCCACCGTGATGCAGGAGGCTGGCTAGGCCACGCCCACCATGGCCACGTCCACCCAGCAACTGGGCAGAGAACCCCTTGCTAAAATTTTTGAAGCCCACTCCTGAGCAACTCTCATGCCTGTTGCATTCGGGTGTTGTCTGTCGGCTATCTGGGCGAATGGCCTCGTCTTACCTGGCCTGGAATGAACTCCTGCCCCCAAAGTGGGACTAGGTAGGACAACCTGCCCAAAGTCAGCACTTTCTCATCAGAGTTCTTATCCCAAGGACTTTGCTTTATCAGAAAGGGGAACTTGGACAGCAGGAGCTGGAGGTTTGCTTAGGCTTTCAAAGAGTGCCAGGCAGTGAAGTTCTCCTGCCTTTCTACACAACCAATCTGATAAAGTCGTCTTAGTCAATCTGATAAAGGACAATTTGCATGAGACAAGGTTTTTCAAAGAGAAAAAAAAAATTTTGGATGAAAATCACGGAGAATGGGGCGTCATCTTCTAAGCTGTCAGGATACAGTTAACTGGCTTGTGAATGGAGTTATGGATAGAGCAGGGGTCGGCAACCTTAAACACTCAAAGAGCCATAAAGGTCCTAACCGGAAGTCCCCCATTCAATTCTGGAGCCGACTGGAATCCTTTTTTCCTTTGCTGACTGGAAGTCCGGTTCCCCCACCATAGAGTCTCCCCCTAGTGTGGCGTCCTTTTTCCTCTACCTGTCCTAACCGAAAGCCCTAACAATTGTGGAGACGACCGGCAACAGGGAGCCGCAGCAGAGGGATGAAAGAGCCACATGCGGCTCCAGAGCCGTGGGTTGCTAACCCCTGGGATAGAATATGTATGGGTCAGCTGTGGGATACAAGAACTCCTTCAGCCCGTACAACCCCAATTGAGCCGAAACCTCTGTTGCAAAGGGAGACGGCTGTTAAGTGAGTTTTGCCCCCTTTTACGACCTTTCTTGCTGCAGTTGTTAAATGAACCACTGCAGGTATTCAGTTAGTCACATGGCAGTTAAGTGAATCTGGCTTCCTTGTTGACTTTTGCTAATCAGAAGGTTGCCAAAGGGGAATGGCATGACCCCGGGACACTCCAGCCATCAGAAATACATCAAGGAGCCTTGATAGTACAGGGGTTTAGTGCACCCTGTTATTAACACAGCTGCCTGCAATTTCTGCTGGTTCGAATCTCTCCAAGGCTCAAGGTTGACTCAGCCTTCCATCCTTTCTAAGGTAGGTGAAATGAGGACCCAGTTTGTGGGGGCAATAAGCTGACTTTGTATAAAATATACAAAAGAATGAAGGCTATTGCTTAACACATTGTAAGCCGCCCTGAGTCTCCGGAGAAGGGCGGCATATAAATCAAATTTAAAAAAAAAAAAAAAATGTGTTCATATTTTGATCACATGACCTGCTCAAATGGTCGTAAGGGTGAAAAATGGTCATAAACAATTTTTTCCCCAATGCCGTTGTAACTTCGGTCACTAAATGGATGGTTGTAAGTTGAGGGTCATCAATACAAACCAGTTGCTAACTGTCCGAATTTCAATCACACGACCATGGGGATACCGCAATATCACTTTTTTTCAGTGCCATTGTGGTTTCAAATGGTCACTAACACCTGGCTTCCGGTAGTCTTCCGGGTGCGCTTCAAGGTATTGGTTCTCATTTTTAAAGCGCTCCATGGCTTAGGGCCCAGGTATTTACGAGACCACCTTCTGCCACCGATAACCTCCCACCGGCCAATCTGCTCCCACAGAGATGGTCTCCTCAGGGTGCCGTCAGCCAAGCAATGTCGACTGATGACCCCCAGGGGGAGAGCCTTCTCTGTGGGGGCACCTGCCCTCTGGAACGAGATACCCCCAGGAATACGACTGATCCCGGACCTCCGTACTTTCCGTCGAGCTTTGAAGACCTTCCTATTTCAGCAAGCCGGGCTGGCTTAAAATTTGAATGGGTTATTTTATGGGCAAAGGGTTTTAAATTTTGGGAAGCCAATTTAATTTAATTCTGTTTTAATTCATCTTAATTTTTATATTGTATGTATTTTAATCTTGGCTGTTCACCGCCCTGAGTCCTTCGGGAGAAGGGCGGTATACAAATTTAATAAACCTAACCTAACCTAACCTAACTAAATGAATAGTTGTGAGTCAAGAACTACTTGTATAGAATCTTGCTTTGAGTTCAGGTGGCTTATTCAAGTCTCTAGAAAAAGTGCAGAGAAGTGTAACCAGGATGATTAGGGGAGTGGAGACTCAAACATACGACGAACGGTTACAACCGTGATGGCGAACCTATGGCACACGTGCCGCAGGTGGCACACCTAGCCATATCGGTGGGCACGCAAGTTCATTTTTGGGCTGTCTGGACCCACTGGAAGTTGGCAAATGGGCCGTTTCCAGCCTCCGGAGGGGCTCCAGGGGAGTGGGGAAGGCCGTTTTCACCCTCCCCAAGCTCCTAGAAAGGCTCTGGAGCTTGGGGAGAGAGAAAAACGGGCCTATTGCATGCCAGGAGCAGGGGGAGGGAGCGGAGGGGTCGTGTGTGCGTGCACGGGGGCAGGGCACATAGAATTATGGGTGTGGGCATGCATGCGCACAACACCCCCCTCCCCCCTCCTCCCCTCCGCTCTTGGCATGCGATGGCAAAAAGGTTAGCCATCACTGGGTTACAAGAACTGGGCATGGCTAGTCTAGTGAAGAGAAGGATCATGATAGCAGGGTTCCAATATTTGAGGGGCTGCCACAGAGAGGAGGGGGCTCAAGCTATTTTCCAAGGCACCCGAAGGCCAGACGAGGAAAAATGGATGGAAACTGACCAAGGAGAGATTCAACCTGGAAATAAAGAGGAGCTTTCTGATAGTGAGACCAATCAACCCATGGGACAGATGTTGCCTTTGGAAGTCGTGGGAGCTTCATCACTGGAAGCTTTCAAGAAGAGGCTGGAGTGCCCTCTGTTAGAAATGGGGTAGGGTTTCCTGCTTGGGCAGAGGGAGGTTGGACTAGATGACCTACAAGGTCCCTTCCAATTCTGTTAATCTAATCTAATTTAATCTCTCCAAAGTCAACTGTACCGAGAAAACACCAAGAGAGGGAATAAACAGAAGGTTAGCCCTTTTTTGTTCATTCCAGGCCTTGGAACAGGACCTTCGTAGCAGCTCCTTCTCTGAGTACATCTTACTTTTCAAGGCATAAAACAGGTAGGGGTGGAGTTGACATGAGGGTAGGAGAGCTTCCCCTGACTCTGCAGAAGTGGAGTGATTCTGGTTGGGTTACTGCAGACTTTTGTTTTAATTGTCTCTCTCTCTCTCTCTCTTTTTTTTTTTTTCTTCCCCAGTCTGCACAAAAGAAACCCACAAAATACAAAAGGAAGCAACAGCTT